GCAATGTGTTTAATAAAAATAAGCAATTTATACCATACAACCTGTTTCAACGGCTCAACCATCATTATCAAATGCAAATCACAACTACTAAACAATAAGCTTATATGGAGCAAAGGGATAATGAAATGGTATAGTGATGCAGTTTAACCCAGTGGAAAGGCAGAAAACTACTACTGGTATAAATTGATTATATATATATATATATATATATATATATATACATGGTAGTGCTTATTGTACCAAGTGGAATTGGGTTTAGGGGTAATAGAACTTCTGGTGTGTCTGATGATTTGCATCGTGACATAGGCAAACTGCTGAACTGCTAACCGCACATTTAAATAATGACATTGTTTTTCTATTAGACAAAGAAGCACCAATACTTGAATGTCCACCAAACCAAAATGTAACAGGTGATTCTAGCTGTATGGCAACTGCAACATGGGCTGCACCGAATGTCACAGACAACTCAGGAGACATTTTTTCACCAGTATGTGATTACATGAGTGGAACAACATTCTCTGAACATAACACTACTATTACTTGTAATGCTACTGACGATTATGACAACACTGGGTACTGTACATTCAACATTTTCATAATTGGTAAGATATTTAGAAAATGTTTGTAGTGGGTGCTTACTATCATAACACGTATTTCGAGCAACGCTGATACCACGAACTACACCAAAGTTCATGCCAGTGGTGTAGCTACGGGCAGTGCAGAGAGTGCAAAGCACTGGGGCTCAGGGCTATTAGGGGCCCATTCATAAATAGACCTAAAAATAATAATTTAAAGTAATTTTCAACTGAATATTTTTGAAGAACAAAACTGCCAGCGGGCTCTTCAATGATATTCGTTTTTAGAGGAGTAATTATTGATTACTCTGTTTTCAAATCAGTAGTGTATTCACGTGTGACCCAGCACCAAATTTTTAAAAATTATAAAAGATGTGGGGAATAAAAAGAAAATTATATTAAAATCTGATAGTGCCACATTTCCGGTGCTGTAATCATAAATTTTCTTACCTCACCCCAACCATGGTGGAGCTGATGTAGTTTTCACCCTCCACCTCTGGAAAGCTCTCCCTGACCCTTCTATTTTTGAGAATTTCAGGGAGTTTCCCTTTCATATCAAAGGGCCTGGTAATTAATATTGTACTGGGGCCCTTTCGCATCTACGCTGCTGAGTTTATCCGAGTTGCTACTTCAAGAAATACTAAAAACGAAACTCGGTTCACTATCAGCTTCAGTCTTAGAGCTAACTACGTCAACAGCAAGAAAACAGACATGTCACACGTTAACTAATTTAAACACATACATAAGGGGTCATTCAAGTATTATGTAACACATTTTTTGGCAAATATTGACAACTCACTTGAGACTGCCGGTAGCGTACCCTTGTAGTAGTAGTAGTAGTAGAACAAATTTGCAGAACATCCAACAATATAGATTTCAGGGAATAAAGTAAAGTGAAGTCAGCGAAATCCAATAAAGCAACAAAATTCAAAGAAAAGTCCAGTGAAAAGCACAACAGCAAATCAAGTTCAAGATGTACAGTAGTAAATATCAAATAACACTTGCTTCCAGTTTATCTGTCGGGTTTCTGGTGTTATAGTACACCAGGAGTTTGTCTCATGATTTTATATTATTTATATAAATATATGTATTTATATGTATTTATTTATAAGTATTTTATATTAAAGCTAGAAACCAGCTTTAGTTCTTTCTCAAATCGATCAGACAAACTTTTGTTTGTGTTTCTTGGTATCTAGTCTCCTTCCTTTCTTTTTCCTTTCTTCTATATGAGGTTTAGCTCCACTCCTTGTTGTATTATTAAAAGGTATTGATTGGGCTTTTGGTTAGGCTGTATTAGTTAATTGTTCTAAATAAGCTAATGGTAGGATTTGGTAACTTGATGAATGCAGTGACGTAACAATGCCTTGTGGCTTTCTGAAACTGGGGCCCTTTTTGTGCCCCGAATGCCAATTCCATCATGGGATTTTAGATCTCTCGCTATCTCGGCGAGTGTCAAACCGTTTATACAACTGAGAACTGCACAATATTATTACAAATCTAAGGCCACTAGTCTCTCTCCCTTCTTACAACTTGAGGGATGACACTTAGTAGTGCGAGCTACGTAATTAACTATAGCAAAGTTAATAAATAGCAGAAATAGAGCAGCTTCCCAATATTGTGGAACATCCGTTCGAAATGCATTGTGGGTACACGGAGAGCAATTTTACCCCATCTGCACGGCGGCGCTATATATATCAATAATAAAGGCGCTGCTCTGGTTTGTTTGTTTTATGTAGTTCTCCACTTAGTCAAGTGGTCAGATTTTACCCCGCTCGCGGGAGGGCGGATGTACCATCAATTTTGATGCAAATACGTGGAATAGCTTTAGTCATCAGTGCTCTTTTATTTATCTTTATTGCTGTTGCTGCCCAATATAACCCAGCCTTAATATAGTACCATTAACGATTTATATATGTATATATATGTATATATTTATATATATATATGTATATATATAATCTAAAAAGACAGCAGTGTAAATACATCTTTGAATTGTAGATATAATATGAAGCACCAAAATTTATTCAATCACAAATATGTCAAACACTCCTGTGTTCTTCCTTAGTATGAGGCCAACTAACAACAAAAATATATATTTATATATGTTATTTTATTTACTTTATTTACAAACATATTTTACATGGATAACATTTTCATAAAAAAATATGTTGTAACAAATGGTCCATGAATTAAATATAAAGCAAACAATTTACAAATAACAAGAAGAAATATTTTTGGATTTTTATACAATACTTAAATGAATTTAAACAAATTAAAAATATGTTATAATTGAATTTAAAAATACATAGAAAAATATAATTATTTTACGAAAAATATGGTTATATGAAGTATATAGAGTATATATTTTAATTTATAAAAGGACAATTATACAGTATATTAGGTTTAATATTTTTATCATTGAAATATCTGTATGATTACATTTTATTCATTGTACAGATGAGACAGCCCCTAATGTGACTTGCCCAGTTGACATTGAGGTGTGCACTGACCAAGGAACAGATTCAGTGAATGCCACCTGGGAACCAGCCAATGCAACTGACAACTGCTGTAGTGATGTCAACATAACTACTAACTACACCAGTGGAGAACCTCTGAGCCTTGGTGTATACACAGTAGGATATGCAGCAACAGATTGTAATGGGAATGTTGGTTACTGTATATTTACTGTTGATGTTAAAGGTAGGCCTATCAGAAACACTTGCAAATAATTAACGTCATTAAACTTACCTACCAGTAGTTAAACATTAATTTTCATTATTATTCATTATTTCAAATTATATAATAATAAAAACATAATATTCTGTAATTAAGCCATTTGATTTTACAAATGAATGTAATATGTTGCACTGAAAGCATTTAATGTATTATAATTAGATTGTGAGCCCCCAGATCTTGAATGTCCACCTAGCCAAAACGTAACAGGTGACGAGAACTGCTGGGCAAATGTCACCTGGACAGCACCCACTGTTACAGACAACTCTGGGGAATATTTCACACCAGTATGTGATCATATAGGAAGCACATTTTATGATGTCAGTACTGTTGTAACATGTAATGCCACTGACAATTATGATAACACTGGCAATTGTACATTTACCATTACTATTTATGGTAAGTCATGTTTTTTAATTGTGGTATAATAATATAATGCATTAAGAAGAGATTATAAATAGTATTATTATTAATAGCAAATGTAGGGTAATGATTATAAAATTAAATACCAAGAATAAAGATAATCAAGTGGAGTTGAAAGTTTTGTGGTTAAGATGCTTTTCTTCCAATCCCAGGGTCCTGGGTTCAATTCCTGCCAGTGTTGCAGGATTTTTTCTCACGACCAAAACAACTCCACTCCCTAAATCTAATATTGAGATTTAGTTTGTGTAAAGCATCGTGTGTGTATGTTTGTCTTGTGTAAGGGATTGTCACATACAAGTAGGACAGTGATATATTCGCTATTGACAATCCTTGGCACATGTATTGTGTGCCTAAATAAATAATTAAAAAAAATTTTTTTTAAAGTATTGTAAAATTTTTTTAATATTATTGGAATGTTTACGTATATTTATAGATAAAATTATGTTAATACATGGAAGAATTTAGTCTAGTAAACTAATTCCTCCATGGTTAATATTGGGAATTCCAAGTATGTATTACGAAAATAATATTATGCTCTATTTCAATCAATCAATAATTTTTAATTTAACCAGATGATGAAGATCCAGTCATAAATTGCCTAGCTGATATAGAAATTTGTGCTGAAACTGGTTCTATAGCAGCATCTGTCACTTGGGAACCCATCAACGCAACTGACAACTGTTGTGACAATGTAAACATAACGTCAGATTACACATCAGGAGATGAATTTGAAATTGGTGAAAATGTAGTAACATACATAGCCACTGACTGTAGTGACAACTCCGCATTATGCAATTTTACTATAATTGTGTTTGGTAATGACAATATTTTTTGTGTTTGTTCAGAATTATTCAGTTATATCTCTTAATGTAGATTTATTTATTATTTTTAAGATATTATTTTATTGATGTTCAGATTGCGAACAACTACACAGTAACCTGTAATGCAACAGACATGGCAGGAAACACTGGCAATTGCTCTTTCAGTGTTTACATTTTTGGTATGTATTTTTTATGTGAATATTTTCAGAAATTATTTCCAATGAATGATTCCTTGAATAGTTATTATTATTATTATTATTGTTATTATTATTATTATTACAGTGTTATTATTATTATTGTTGTTGTCCAAATCCAATAGCAAAACCCTAATGGGTTAGGTCATTGCGTATTACATGTAACAAATATAGTTAAAGTAAATTTCAGTGCTGATATAGCAGGTAAGTTTTTGTAACAAGGAATATAGATGGGTACGATCTGAAAGCCATGTGATATTAATTAAAATGTAAAAGCAGTTTGTTAGAGTTAATTTTTACGTATTAGGTCCTTATATTAGCAATTACAATTTAATTTTTTATTTTTCAAATTTGCGGATTTCAGTACATTATTGTAACTGTTTACCTGTAATTTTAATTCATAATTTAAATATTGACTTGAAACTATTTTAACGTTAATCATCATATTTGATGTACATACAATGCGAGGATTATCAAAGCCTGTGTTGAAATTATTATGAAAACGTGTTATTTGTATTAGATTTGTCAAGGAATTTTAATGTTTTATTAAAGTTTGTGAACTTCATACACATATTTATTGCTGAAAAGCCCTAAGTTTGAAATACTAGAAATCGACATAAAATACTGCTTGACACATAACTCGGTGGTGATATGATTCCTTTCATATGTATGACATTATTTACACCGTAACAGGTATACAATTTTATTTTCTTACCATACGAAAATCCAGAGGAAATGGAACTGGAGTGAGGTGCGTGACAATGCATAAAGGCGTATGATGCATTTCACAAGAAATTTTATTATTATCTTTTTTTTATTTTGGGCTGATAATAGTAATCACAATTTTTAACTTAAATAGGAAAGCTTTAGTATTAAGCAACCCTCCGCACCCCACCACCACTTCGCAATGCAGCTCTGAGTCGCGTCTCAAACTACAGGTCCTTTTTTGTGTATTCCGCGAAATTTGTATAGATAACCAAAATGACCACTGCGTTCCAAATTTGCTTTTCGATTTCTTCACACATTCTTTCGAAAACATTTTCGTAATTGGCAGAAGTATTTTTTTTTAAAGCATTGTTTGTATTTACTTATTTATATACATTTTATTTGGTCTTTTTTATTAGATGTTACTTCACCTCATGTGACATGCCCAGACAATATTACTACTTACAATGATGCAACCGCTAATACAGCAGCAGTGACATGGAACTCAGCAGTTGTTACTGATAATTGTTGTGAAGATATTAGTTTGTTTACAAATATTACAAATGGCACTGATTTTAAAATTGGAATTACTGAAGTTACCTTTACTGCAGTGGACTGTTATGGCAATGAGGATCAGTGTGTATTCAGTGTTATTGTTGAAGGTAAAACATTTGTTACAGCTTCTATAATCTATGTACTTTATCCACACAAAAACACAAAACTTTGAATAGGCTCTGGCTATGCTGATCTGAGTGATTAAAAAATATATAAAATGAAAAGCGGCCAACAATTTTATTAGACTCAAAGTAGAATATTTAGTAATAAAGGATATATGCTGATTAAATATCTAATTTTTGTAACATTATTTTTCTAGTATTTAGTATTTTTAATTTGTATTTATTTATATTCATTCATAATTTCTTTCTTCGCCAGATAATGAACCACCAGTTCTTGAATGTCCTTCAAACCAGATGGTAGCAGCTGATTCTGACTGTGTGGCAACTGCCACCTGGATGCCACCGAATGTTACAGACAACTCTGGGGACAGCTTTACAGCCGTATGTGATTTTATCAGTGGAAGTACTTTCTCAAATGACAGAACCACTGTAACTTGTAATGCTACAGACGATTATGACAATATTGGCTATTGTAACTTCACAGTTACCATAAATGGTAAGATTCGTTTTTATATACGTAAAATTAATCTAATATAAATCAAGAGGCATTTTATTACACAATTTATTTATTTATAGGACTACATTTATTGAGAGCTATGCTACACAATGTATTATCATGGCCTTTATTCGAACACTGTATTTGCCTTTCTTTGATGATTTATATATATACAAATATTTATAGATTAATTATAAATGAGAAAGAAATTTTAATGATATAACAATATAGGAAAGACTACATATAACACTAACATCGTTGATTTGAGATTTTTTTGTACTAGATTAAATTAATATTAATTTATGTCACTTTATAATAGTTTAATGATAAAAAAACAAAAGGTCCACTGATTAATCTCAGATATGAAAGTATAATACATAATATTATACGTAAGTATTGAAATACACGCAATCGTGTTGGGATTCAATATTCCGACATATATTATATCATCGTGAAGAATGAAAAAATTATCCATATATTTACAAGCTTATATGCAGAAATACCAAAAGTGTTTAACCAATCAAAAAATTACCTCTAGTAGGTGATGTAGCAGTGATTTAAACTAAAGATCAAAGCATTCATAAGCTACCAACAAAAACATAGGAAGCTCATTTGAACCTCTAAACCCACTGTTAAGCAATGAGTGTAGATTTACATAAATATCAAATGCTTCTTTAAACAATAGGATAGACCAGTTTTGGGAACTGTCAATATTGTTAGTACTAAAAACTGTTTTGTCCCTCATGATGACATAAAATGTTGAAATATTGTATCCCAACACGATGGCATGCATTTCAATACTTGGAGTATGTATTAAACTTTCTTACCTGAAAATTAAACAGTAAACAAATATAATTAAATAACATTTTTGAAAATTTTCTGGCATGCTTACTTGGCATAAGAATATTTATTTGAAAAATATATATATAAATGTTTTGTTTGTTGGTATTGTTATTGTATTGCTATTTTCACCTCATTAAGAATATGAATATTAGACTCCACAAAGTACAGAATTGATGCTACAATTTGTAAGTGAATATTTTTATTTTGTATCTGTAGGATTGTGCTAATGACTCTGTAAAATTTGCATTGTTTGCCCATCTTAATGAATACTTATAGAAGTATATTATGCCTTTACGTTGAAGCTTAAAAAGACTTCTTAATATTTTTTTGGTAACAGATGAGACAGCCCCTAATGTGACTTGCCCAGTTGACCTTGAGGTCTGCACTGACCTAGGAACAGATTCAGTGAATGCCACCTGGGAACCAGCCAATGCAACTGACAACTGCTGTAGTGATGTCAACATAACTGCTAACTACACCAGTGGAGAAACTCTGAGCCTTGGTGTATACACAGTAGGATATACAGCAACAGATTGTAATGGGAATGTTGGATACTGTCAATTCATTGTTGAGGTTAAAGGTAATGAACAATTGCAAATTGTTTTACATAATATTTTTGGAATTTTTTTGTTACTAAATGCTTACTATTTAAATTCAAATTTCACTTGTTGATTAAAAAAAAAAATCTTAAATAATAAGCTTGCCTTTTACATTTCCGGCGGTTCTCCAGACATTAGGATTATCCATAAATACACAATGAAATATTGATTATGTTTTACTAAAATTAATAAAAGATAACTGATATATCAGTCAAGCTCTTAAATACAAAGTCACCATCCAAAATCATCTTCTAAACAGGCTTTTCCATAATTCATAACAATACAATATTTATTATGTATATTTTTATAGCCAATCTAGAAAATATTTGTTAGTGATACTTAGAGTACAATGTTGTGTTTGATTATTTTCTATAGACTGTGAGGCTCCAATGCTTGAATGTCCACCAAATCAAAATGTAACAGGTGACGATTACTGCATGGCAACTTCCTTTTGGTCAGCACCCACTGTTACAGACAACTCTGGATATAGCTTTATACCAGTATGTGATTACATGAATGGAAGCATATTTTCTGAACTAAACACTACTGTTACATGCAATGCTACTGATGAGTATGACAACACTGGCTATTGTACATTCAACACATTCATCATAGGTAAGAAGTTTTAGGGTATTGGCATAACTATATGTTACAATTACCAGTAAACGAGATGCTTTCCTAGTAGCTATTCATAAACAACAAAATAACATTATATACATAAAATGCATGCTAATTAAAGATATTACGGATGATGATTTTGGCAAGTATTTCGCAACGTACTCTGGGGTGGCACCGGTATTTGCCCAACAGGTTGTCCGATGTCTCCAACCAAAAAAAAGTGGGCATGGTCAGGGGTTGCTGAAAATCTCTCGAAAGTGTTCAAGGGCGACAAAGCCCCCGAAAACCCCTCTCCCCTCTGGCGTCACCCCTGAACGTACTGAGCATTCAGGACAATAACATGTCAGCTAGGGAAAAAAATCATTCGTATCATAGCTCTTGACCCAAGAAAATGGTAATGGAATAGCATTGCAGTACCCACTGTTATTTGGGGATCGGATTCATCACTAGTCACCAAGTGCAAACTCGCTGGCCGAGTGGTTAAGACACTAGGCTAGTTGTCTGGAGGTCATGGGTCCGATTCCCACCCGAATCACTTGCGGAATTGTTTCGCAAGGACCAAGGAACGGACTAAGTATTCAGTATGATAACTAGCCTGGTAGGGCAAACATCATTATTCCTCCTGACGCAAAAACTACATTGGAATAAAAAAATATTATTGTGTATATTAAGACTTTTGTACACTTGCAGATTCTTCTGTTTAACGTTAAATTTATACATAATTATAACATTACCAATGGTTTAGTGTTTATCTCTTTATCGCATTATATATATACTGTCTCTTATACACATCTAGATGTGTATAAGAGACAGGTATATATATTTCCGAACTAGGCCATTAAGGCTTTGTTGGGATTTCAAATCTGATTAAAGCATTCTTTACACTCATGCACATGCATATTAGACAGCACTAGTCCTTGATGCATGGCAGATAACTGAGTTCAATATGATATGCTCCTTCTTATCAGGCAAGATCTCCGAAGAGATGCTTTTTATAAGCAGATAATGATAAGATAGAGATAAAGTTTAAACCGTTCTTGCGGTAATGCTGTAAATGTATATAAATGTATTTTAAAGGTTAAAGAACAGGAATCTGCAAATGAGAAAAAAAGGTGCCCCAACGGGAATATATGTATATATTACTGTATTGTACAACATTGAGGTTCCATGTGTGTCATTTCATTTATTTATTATGCCTCAAAAATGTCCTAAGACACATATGTCTTAGGTCTTAGTAAAAAAAAAACAACCTATTATTATATTTCGATTAAACTATATTTTACACTTGTTTAATAACTTCAATCGGATTAAATTTTATTCATTGTACAGATGATACAGCCCCTAATGTGACTTGCCCAGTTGACCTTGAGGTGTGCACTGACCTAGGAACAGATTCAGTGGATGCCACCTGGGAACCAGCCAATGCAACTGACAACTGCTGTAGTGATGTCAACATAACTGCTAACTACACCAGTGGAGAACCTCTGAACCTTGGTGTATACACAGTAGGATATACAGCAACAGATTGTAATGGGAATGTTGGTTACTGTCAATTCAGTGTTGAGGTTAAAGGTACCAGGAACCATTTTGAATAATTAACATCATTAAACATACTTATCAGTAGTTAAGAGTAACCATAGTAAAAGCAAATTAAGCGATTTGATTCTGCAATTGAATGTAATATGTTGTAGTGACAGAATTTTATGGCTTATTAATAGATTGTGAGCCTCCGGATCTTGAATGTCCTCCGAACCAAAACGTAACAGGTGACGAGAACTGCTTGGCAAATGTCACCTGGACAGCACCCACTGTTACAGACAACTCTGGAGACTCTTTCATACCAGTATGTGATTATATAAGTGGAAGCACATTTTATGATGTCAGCACTGTTGTTACATGTAATGCTACTGACAATTATGATAACACTGGCAACTGTACATTTACCATTACTATTTATGGTAAGTCATATTTTGATTATCTGATGATAATTATTAACTTAATAAAATAAAATTAAATACCTAGATGAAAGAAAAGTATTGTAAAAGTTTACAATAATAATGGAATATTAACTTTTATTTAGATAAAATTATGTTAATACAGTATTAGGAATTCCAAGTAGATATTACGAAAAACATAATAATATACTCTTTTTTAATCAAATAATTTTTAATTAAACCAGATGATGAAGATCCAGTCATAAATTGCCCAGCTGACATAGAAGTTTGTGCTGAAACTGGTTCTATAGCAGCATCTGTCACTTGGGAACCCATCAACGCAACTGACAACTGTTGTGACAATGTAAACATAACGGCAAATTCCACATCAGGAGATGAATTTGAAATTGGTGAAAATGTAGTATTATACACAGCAACTGACTGTAGTGAAAACTCTGCATCATGTAGTTTTACTATAAAAGTGATTGGTAATGAAATCATTTATTGTGTTTTTATCAGAATTATTCAGTTATATCGCTTACTGTAGATGGGTTGATTATTTTAAAAATATTATTTTATTGATGTTCAGATTGCGAAGCTCCTTTTTTGAACTGTTCGCAAGGTGTAGAATTTGATGCTGATGACAATTGTACTTCCGATGTAACTTGGACTGAAGTGACAGCAACAGATAATTACGATAGTGATGTAACTGTGTTCTGTAACCCGGCTGAAGGTATTTTTCCATTGGGCAACTACACAGTAACCTGTAATGCAACAGACATGGCAGGAAACACTGGCAATTGCTCCTTCAATGTTTACATTTTTGGTATGTATATTTTATGTGAATAATTAAAAATGTTATTTCCAAGTTGTATTATGCTTCTAGGAGCAATATTAAGCAGGAAACACTGGCAATTGTTCCTTCAGATAGAATGAATGAATCATTGAGTAATTGCCTGTGAATACTTTTCTTTCTTCAATAGATGCAACTTTCCCAGACATCACATGTCCAGAAGATATTACTGTTGATGCTGATGAAGGTGATAGCACTGCCGCAGTGACATGGGTTCCTGGTGTCATTACTGATAACTGTTGTGGAAATGACATTGATGTGGTTTATAATGCCACAAATGGCTCAGAATTTAACATTGGAGTTACTGTAATTAGCCTCATAGCAACAGACTGCTATGACAATCAGGATGAATGCATCTTTAGTATTTACGTTGAAGGTAATTTAATGATATTTTATTATAGTTCAAACATCAATTTTTTGTAAAAACATATAGCTATAATATAGTGATTTTCGGTACACATTTGTTTGCCAATTGTTTATATTTCATATAATTATTATTCACTGCATAATCTTTAGTATTTATATTGAAAAAAACTAGTATAGTATTTTAGTATAGTTTAAACTCATCAAATTTTTGTAGAAACATATAACTATAATATCGTAATTTTATTTTCGGTACTGACTTGTTAACCATTGCTTATATTCCATATTATGGTTATATTTTCGCTGCATAATCCTCAAATAATATATGTTCATTTTTACAGATGATGAACCTCCTGAACTTGAGTGTCCACCAAACCAAAATATAACAGCTGATCCTGATTGCAGGGCAGTTGCAAACTGGACAGCACCCAATGTTACTGACAATTCTGGAGATACCCTCTATTCAGTGTGTGATTATAGCAGTAGTAGCATATTTTCAGACATCATTACTACTGTCACTTGTAATGCAACTGATGGTTATGGCAACACTGGGTACTGTAGTTTCAACATTACGATAGTTGGTAAGCTACTTTTAATTAGCCTACATGAATGATTACCAGTATGAACCCACATTTGCCAAAGTCGTATTAACTATATCACACCTGAAAAATATAAGAATCGTCCGTCTTAGTGCAGCATGTTAGTACATACAAAACCAGAGCTATAAATTCAGGAGATTCCATTTTTTTTCTTCGATGCTTGTGGAGAAAATTTTAACAAACATTTTTTTAATTTCTGTGACCTTTACCTTGTTTTTGACCTTTACACAAAATTGATTCACCTTTTCTTTAGACCCATATTTACCAATTGTTATGATAAATCCATTCATTTTAATGCATAATCCTGCTAACAAACAAGCAGACAGACAGACAGACAGACAAACAGTGGTAAATACATAACCTCCTTGGCGAAGTAATGTTAAAGAAATAAATTTTGCTTTTTTTGTCTGGTTCCAAGTATTTGAAATTGGAAATTTTGGCTTGGATACCCGGACCCACGGTAGCTGCAGTGCAGTGCCAGTAACGAGTACATTGTATCCTGTCTCTTATACACATCTAGATGTGTATAAGAGACAGCATACACACACGCATTTCCCCATCCAACAGACTATCCTACAGTTTGTTTTTCTGACACTCCCTTTATAGTTTGCAGATCACCTAGCCTTTGCTATATACCTCTTGCAAACCGACTGTTTTAATGTTGTTGTTAATTGCTAATCTTCTTTTTCCCTGCCTGTTCCTGTGTGCCCTGAGAACATTTTCTTGGTCTTTTTCTTTTCCTAATTCCAGTCTAAACTTGCTATATATTCTGAAGATTCAAACATTTTTGTTCTTCACCAGACTCTAGTTTTACCTTTCGTATGGTTCTTAAATCTCTTAATATTAATGATCTTATTAATGTTTATGAATGGGAATATGAATGGCTTGTCAATTTGTGTGGGGTTTATGTTTATACCTACATCAAAAGATATTCTTATCCTTGCTGTTGACATTAATTAATTAATTAAATCTAAACTATGTTGGGGTAATCAGTGCATTAGATTAGATCTCATCAGTGCAGCTCAGGATTTCAAGAATGAAACACACGACAGACTCAAACATGCTTGGGTCAGCCCTTTATATATATATATATATATATATATATATATGTTGTGTTTTTTTTTTTGTCTGAATAATATAATTATGTCAATTATTAATAATTTATTTTTTATAGATAACTTGCCGCCTAATCTCGTATGTCCTGGTGATGTGAATGTATGTAATGATGACGGTCTTAATGACGCCAGCGTTACTTGGGAACCAGCCAATGTTACCGATAACTGTTGTGCAAATGTTGTAGCGGATGCAAACTATACCAATGGATATTCCTTTGAAATTGGTACTACTGTGGTGGAGTACTCATCAAGTGACTGTGAAAATCTCATGACTACCTGTCAGTTCAGTGTGGTTGTCAGAGGTGTGTACGATGCTCTTTGTGCATTTGATATTTAACTAGCATTAGTTTATACTTATGGCACAAGTATATCTACATTTTTCGTTACACTCTATTAGCTGTTTGTCAGTATAGAATATATATATATGTCAATATTTTCAAATTGGACTATTCAGTTCTTCACTAGCCTATGTTTTAATCAAATAAAACAAAGCAATTTACTCTATGATCCACTGAGTATAAATTGTTTTAATGATAGATTGATGCTCACTCACCGAATGATTGATTGCACAAGATGCATTCCCAAACATTTTAGGATAGCAAACGCTATCAGTGTTTAATTTTCTCAATAATTTTAGTTTCTATATTATATAGATACCAGTACAAAAGTGGTAAATCGATTGATTTTTTTGTTTCAAGAAGTGTTTGTCCATTTTTTAGTGTACCTATATACAGTATATGTGTTATATAATTGTTTTATACACTTTTAGATTGTGACGCCCCTGATTTGACTTGCCCAGATGATTTGGATCCCTTTGACGCTGATGATAGCTGTCAGGCAGAGGCCACCTGGAATGCGGTAACAGCAGACGACAACTACGACAGTGTTGTAGATGTTGACTGTGATTTGAGTCCTGGTACTTTTCCTTTAGGCAATTACACTGTGCAGTGCAATGCTTCAGATTTGGCAGGCAATACAGGCAACTGTTCTTTCAATTTCTACATTCTTGGTATGTTTTTACATTCAATTCAACTATATTTTAAATTAATGAATTTAAAAAAAAAAATGGGATTTGATGATGGTATTAGTAAATATTTCCTTAGAATTTAAAGTTTATATTGAAAAAAAACTAAAGTAATTTCAAATGTATGCCTTTAAATAAGTATCTGAAATCCAGGATTTTGTTTGTAATGGTTTTGCCCTTTGGAAGGCATTAATTAATTTGAGCAACTCTTTAAAGTTTTCAATAACTATATTTATTGTTTTTGTACGCTTTATATTATATGTACAGATATGACTCCTCCTGCACTGGTATGCCCAGACAATATTACCGTTCCTAATAATGTAGGTGATAATATGGCAGAAGTGACATGGAACCGTGCGGTTGCAACTGATAACTGCTGTGGAGAAAACATCGATGTGTTCCCTGATATTATGAATGGTAGTACTTTTGACATTGGAATTACCGATGTTACACTTACAGCAATAGACTGCAATGGAAACTGGAATGAATGTGTGTTCAGTATTGAGGTTACAGGTAATTATTTTTTATATTAGTTTTGTATTTTATGGAACTTACTTATAAAAATATTACTTTTATGTGTTCTTGAATACATCTTTATTGATTGTTAATTTGAAACACCATTTGCTCTGCAGTCTTAGGTTCTAGGGCTTGATAATCCTATTTTCTAAAGGTAGACTTAGTTTTTGAGTAATCACTCCTGTTGTTTGGTAGGTAAACTTGCTAATTGATTTGAATTTGAAAAAAATACAACGAAATAGCACCTTAACATTAATAATTTTTGTATTTAACAAAATGGAGTTGAAAATAAAATAGAAATTAAAAAATAATAATTTAATGTGTAAAGAAAATGGTTTAGGATTTAGGATTGAACATTCAGATTATGACAACTTTCCCTTGTACAAATAATAATTTGAAGAAAGAATATATGCAATTTTAAATATTCGTAATGGATTGAAAGTAAATAAGACAATAAATAGGTCTACATTAGTATAAGAATGTTAGATACCATGACATTTTATGTGATTTGTGAAAATTATTATGCTAATAAAAATTATTGGTAAAAATTGTACTCAAAAAGAAATATACCATATGCATAGTTAAGACAAATGCTTGTATTTTAAATTGAAAGCAGTTCTTGACATATTAAATTGATAAGGATATTATTATTAAGTTTTGGATTTGGTTATGTTACAAAATGTTAAACACCCCTGAGTATAATAAAATTTTCCATCCAAGTGTGCTGAATAATACCGGGCACACATTGTGTCGTAGACCACTGAGCGACAAATCAATTTCCACTCTGTATGAGCGCTTGACAGTGCGACATTATCTGCTGATTGTCGGTGGCAGACTATTAGCAGAATTGCGTCAGCCAACGACTGTTGGGACACAAAAATATCATTGCTAATCATTTTACAAATACTACAAAATATTAGAAATCAGTATTAAGTTAAAATTATTCTTATTATTATCACTATAATCATTATTTGTTATTGAATTACAAATAGTTACAAAAGGTCAAAAATAGAATTCATAATATTCATAAAATATCATACCAAACACTTATTCAAAACTTGCATTGCTGTACGTATACAGAGTCCTGCAATTTCTATTGCAGTCTTGGTATTGGTGTATAAAACATATAATTAAAATAAATCCAATTATTTGAACTTGTACCAAAGCACATTTCTTAACAAATTTGCTAGTGATCAAAGTTACTTTCTTCAAACTTGACAGACATGGAACCACCAGATCTTGAATGTCCACCAAGCCAAAATCTAGTAGGTGATAATGATTG